CTCTCTCTGTGTGTGTGTGTGTGTGTGTGTGTGTGTGTTGCGGCAAAACAGGGGTAGCTGTGACGAATGTTTTGTCCGACTTCCACTGGCAAAGCAGGAGTTTGATTTTGAAAGCCTCGAAGATCTTCGTTTCATGGATGGACAGGGATCCACACACTTCGCCCGGGCGAATCCTGAACAGCCATTGAACAATCATTTCAATCTCATTGCAAACGTAGAATTTAGACTTGACGCTGATGAAACTTGATCTTTTTTGAGATATCATTAATGAATGCGGAGCAGGCCATATACCTTGCCGTAATTCCCAAAGAGTCCGAGGAATGTGAATCATGCCCCCATCTTCTGTTTATTGGGCGTTTAGTATTCCGTAGAATGGTCAAAGGTTCTGATTGTAACAATCAGCGGCATAATGCATGGTGCGTTTGTCTGGAAGCATTCTGAGAGGCTGGTCACACTGATGCTGTGTTTGTGCTTTGAAGACATGAATCTGGCCATAAAAGTGGCCAGATTCTGGCTTGCGTTGTGCAAACAGAGACCCAGCGAGGCCCCACCCACCCTTGGTGACATTCACTAGATGGCTCAGTGAGTACCTTGTGAGGCAATCTAGTGCTGCATGGGTTCTGAAGCCTCGGGCTCGGTATTGACATTGAGCATTCAGCAAGGGCTCACTGTCCACGAATACGCCCGGCGCCTGCTTGAGGCGTGCGTGGACAGTAATGTATGGCGGCTCGGAATGGGACCGGCTTTCACGTAACGAGCCTGCTGTTATGCTCAGCTTACCTTCTGCTTCAGCGAAGACGTTCTTCACACCCTCGCGACTGTTGTCGAAAACCCTAAATCCTGAACGCTTGTTTGACAGCCCTCCCTCGTCCGCGTTGTGCTTAACCGTGGGGGGTATCACTCAGTGTGCCCTAATGCCCCTGAGGGGTACCACTCAAATGGCTCTAGTGCCCTAATGCCCCTGAGGGGTATCACTCAATTGTACAACACGCGTACCACCGTTTGAGTGGTACCCCTCAGCCAAGTGATCGCTCGTTCAGTACCTTCCAGTAGACGTGCCATGTGTTGAGGTAGTCCTGACCGAAATACATCCCACTGGGGTATCTGGTGTCAAAAAAAAAGAAATTCCCTACCAGTTTCACCGGGCCTCCGTGCTGCAGTTGCTGTGAGATGTATGCCAATAAAAGCCTCGTTTACGTAACAACCATTCTCTTGGTATGGCTCCCAGATAGAATCCCATGGGTGATCCTTGCCCAGCGCCAGCATCATGCACTTTGTTTTTGTCCATCGCAATCTGAGCTCCACAATATCTAGACTAGCGTTCCACCCAGGGGCTTTTTTTTAATTACCCAGGGTACTACTACCAATTCTTCTACTCTACCTCTGGACGTGGTTACGGTCGGTTCCGTCCAGGTCTGGCGGCAATTGCAGTCACATACATGTAGAAAACCTCGCACTTCCTGTGAGATGTATTTCAGTAAAACCTCCCTCACTTAAACCACCAATCCCCCTGTCAAGTATTTTGGCTAAAATGCCGTATAGAGCTCTGGGGTACTAGGCTAAAAAAAAAAAAAAAAAAAAAAAAAAAAAAGGATTAGCACTAGGCTACTAGCTTTATATCAAACACCTACGATTTCTTAAAAGCAGAAATATTTGGTTTCCATCCAGGCTACCAGCCGGGCTACCCGGGTCCCGGGTGGCCAGCCCATGCAAGGGCAAACAAACAAACAAAAAAAAAAAACCTGCAAAAAATCCGAAAAAATACAATGTTATGTAGAAAAAAAACTGAACAACTTTTGCCTCAGGGTCACATCAAAGGCAAAAACAGAAGTTGAGAGAAGAATATATAGAAAAAATATACATATATATTTACCAAATTTAAAATACGAAATAAAATTTTGAAATATTTCATTTTTATTTTATTTTTTTTTATCTTTTTGGCCGGGCCGGGCAAGTGACCCCGGGCCACTCTGGTAGCCTAGGTTTCCATAAGCTTCACTTTATTTCATTTGACCATAGCAAACTACTCCTCGTTTGATAAAGACGGAAGTCTGATTAAACGACCAGGTACGACGTCACATTTGACACCTAAGGAAGGTACTGCCCAACTGACGGGGAACCGGCGGCACAAGTTCATGAGGGCTACTGGTAGCACAATTTGGAGAATAATAATGTCGAGATTCAGTAGAGTGGGCAAAATGGAATTTGCGCCGAATAGGCGGGAATGATCATTTCACTCTGTAGTCATGACACCCGGCCTGACACCACTGGGCCTTGGTACTTCCATTGCTTTTTCGGATGGGGTGCCTGTTTTCTTTGCAGGGGTGTGTGTATTTGCTCATTCGATACTCAAAAGTGACGTCACTGTGCTTGCCCCTTCTTTCATGAGGGCTGCTGAGCGGCCAAAATGGAATTTGCGCCAAATAAGCGGGAATGATCATTTCAGTATCTAAATTTTGTATTTTTACTTTCTGATATTTTTCCTGGAAAGATCACGAGCAAATCTACCAGATCACAAATGTTAAGATTTTTCTGACCAGTCCTTCGGGACATCCGTTAAAATTGGAACGATACGCTGACAGTAAAAATCGTTCCAATTTTAAAGGATGTCATGGCCCCTGCGCAAGGATGACACGCATAAATCGAGAAATGGCCCAAAGAAGAAAAAAAAAGGAAGATTTTTCTGACCAGTATTTTGAGCATGAAAAATCGCTGAAGTTGGAATACTTTTCCGTTGGTCGCAAAACTGGAAAATGCACCGAATCGCCGCGGCAAGTGTTTCACTGTCTAAACTTTTTTTTTTTTTTTTTCCTAATATTTTTCCCAGAACGATCACGACCAAATTTGCCGGGGTCACCGAACCCGAACACGATGCTACGCAGGGTTTCTGTTTTAATTTATTCTAAAAATCTCAGATTTTTTGGTGTTCTCTTCTGAGCACGAAAAATTGTCAAGGTTCACTCTTTTTTTTTTTTTTTTTTTTTTTCTCCCACCGACCTCCGCTTGAATTGGCACCGCATAAGCGTCTGGATAATCCGGAATGCGGTGTGGCAGGCCTGCAAGACGAAAATCATCCGCGAAGCGGATGTAATTGATGTCCAAAGATCCAATGTTAAATTCCCCCTTGGCGAGAGTTGTCTCTATGTCCTAGAATGAAATCTGCATACCGGCTTCCGAAGGTTCCGGAAAGCCACTTTTTCTACGTCGGGGGGAATGCTATTTTAACTAAAACCCATTTCCTTGGCATGCCTCCCAAAATATTCAATGGGTGTTCCGCACTGCTCAGCAGTAGCAACATGCATTTTGTTTTTGTCCATCGCGGTCCAAGCTCCACGACACCTACATCAGCGTTCCAGCCAGCATCTCTTTTTTTAGAGAGAGAAGAGGACAACAAACGAGGGGCTGTGACAAACTGTTTCGTCGGAGTTTCACTGTCTCATCAGGAGGCTGAACCCTCAACAGTCTGCAGAATCCCCTCACTGATTACACTGTAAATGATCATCTACCTTAACCAAAATCAAAGTAGACTATCACTCACCCACACCAGATGGAAAACTCTACAGACTGTCAGTTATATATATCAATTTCCTGCATACCTAGGCTACCACAGTGGCCCGGGTCCACTTACCCGGCCGGGCCAAAAAACCATAACGAAGTCCCACTTGAAGCACTGATGTATGATATCCTTCGTAGGTGGATTCACGTATTACATCACGCCACCATACAAACATGGTATACAAAATCATTCCTAAACCTAAACTAAGGCACAGCGTACCTCCTGTATAAGA